GGGGGTGTTAGTTTCACACATCTCAACATTAGCAGAGGATAGTAGCGTGATTACCCAAAACCAAGGAATTAGTCACTTGTTGCTTTCTAAAATGGTCACCAGATTGAACAGCAGTGAGGATTAGCCGTCTGGAAAGTATTAAGGTTTGAAAATATGAACGTTTGTGCATCACTTGTGCTTTTGCATATGTGCACTTACCCCTTCCTGATATTGTGCACTGCAAAAAGAAAAAGGGGTCTTAAAATCTGTCATGTTGGAAGAAACTTAAATATTTTTTTCTCCACTCACATAACCAAAAAATGGGTGGGGATTTCCCTCAAAAAAATGTAAACAAAAATTGATGTGGGTTGACACCATGCATGGAATATATCGGCTCAAGAGGTGAACTGTTCAGAGCTCTGAGTGTCTTCAAAGATATTTATAATAAATACTGCAAAGTAGCACTTTCTCAAATGCTGTGGGCCTGTGACAGCACAGTCTAGTGGCTGGAGCAAACAGCTGGAAGTCCAGAGTCCCCATGTGGTCTGTTCCAAAATAGATGTGACATGACATGAGACCGTGGGAAAATCACTAAGGCCAGACCTTTTAAACTTGGGTTCTTAGGTTTTCCAGAAATGCTTAACATGCTGATTTCCAATTGAGTCAGCGACAAACTGACCACTTGCAGGGGGGGAAAAGAGTCAGGCAACTGCATTTGAATATGTTGTCCTCGACCTTTCAGTGCTTCAATGTCATCAACTGTCAAACCGGGCCTTTGAAAACAATGAGCTTACCAGAGGAAGGAAGAGCATTACTGAGTAATAGCTAGAGTGGCTGAGGAGTCGCTGGGTTGTGTAACAGTGGCAGTTTTAAGCAAGTAGTGGACGAGGAGTCACACTACCCTCATGCTTTCTCTGTCCAAGCTGTCAGAAATGCAAAAGTGAACAAATCAGGAACAGTGGTGAGAATTGGTGCATTCTCTTAAAACTTCCTTTAGCTTTAATAATCAACGTTGTTAACAGAAGATAAAAAAGTGTGGAAGGAAGGAAGGAAAATGTACTTACTTGAGAGGTCATCTAGTCCAGTCCCCTGCCCTCATGACAGGTCTAAGGGGAACAATAATTCCATCACGCTCAAGAGAGTCACTCCAGTGTCAACTAGGTGTATGTTTAGGGAGAGGCAGGCCCGTGATTTTTAAGTGATTTTTAAGTGATTTGCCATCTATAAACGCTCCTTTCAGCCCAGGCGTGAGCTTGCTTCTCAGCTCGCTGGAGTGACTCTGCATTCACACACATGGCCTGAATTTTGCATTCAAGATGCTTAATCCTTGTAGACTGGTGTTGCCATAGAAGGAAGCAGTGGCCGTGTTAATCTACATGTTTTGTTAGTCCTTAAAGTGCTACCAGACTATTGGTTGTTTTTTTAAGTTTATCCTGTAATGACTAACTCGGCTACCCCATGAAGTTTCTTAATCTCTCGCGTGAGAGTTGAATAATTGGGCATTCGCCACTAGGGGGTGCCACTATCATCCCTTTAAACTTGTCCCTGGCTGCAGTTTAAGGTGCTGCTGGTTGTTCTATCCCAGAGTGGAAACTTTTTAACTCTTCACACTCTAGAGTGTTTTTATCCTATGCGGCTGGGGAGCTCTGGACTGACTGTCTTAGCAGCTCTGCCTGTGTCCAGAGGTGGGTCCTGCCTCTCCCCAGGTCAATGGGACCATATCCCATGCACCAAGCCCTGGTTTGGCTTCTCACTCTGGCAGTCGGGGCGGTGGGAGGGTGCAAAGGGGGCTGCTCCGAAGCGGCTGATCTGATGAGCTGATGGGGGCCCCGCTAGGGCTGGGGGAAGCCCCCACTGCTACCCGTTCCTTGTTAGAGGAGACACTGTGAAGCGAGGAGCATCTGTCCCCTGTGACGCCACTGCCAGGGCCTAGCTTATGGCCAGGTTCTGCAAAGAGCTGTTCTGAGTCCCTGAATCCTCGTGAGGACGAGACCCGACCGGCAGCTCGACAGGCCCTGGGCCAGGCCTGTGTTCCCCTGAAGAAGCTGGTTCCCCTGACCCGCTGAACATGCTGCGGTCTGGGTGGGACTAAACAGAGCTGAGGACGCCCCCGAAACACCCAGCGTTGCTGCTGCCACAGACAACGGCAAGTCTGGGTACAAGCTCAGTGCAGCCCAGGGCTCAAGGATCGATGAGGAGGGGAAAGCGGCCTCTGTCCCTGAGCCGGGCACACGTGGCTCCTGCCTTTCCCCCGCAACTGAGCAGGGCAGGGCTGGGGGGCTTAGGGCTTGGGCCTTGTCTGTCTCACGTTTACTTTGGGATTTACTTTGGGCAGTGACACGTGCGGGGATAAACCCTGCTTTGTACTCGCCCCCTGCCTCTGTGTGAGGCGTTTGCACCCCGCCGCCAACACGGGCAACATTTCTCTGCTGTAGATAAGGCCCGAGCCTTATCGAGCACCTGCCTGAGAGAAGTCAAGGCCTCACATGCGTCCTGTCCATCAGGGGTGGGGAACCTGGAGCCCCCGGCTTCCTTGGATCTGGTCCCCGAGGCTCCAGGCGCCCCCCCGCAGCATGGATGACGAGAGAGGGATCGCTTGATGATGATTCCCTGCTCTGGCGCTCCAGCCCTGCCCCCACTGCTTTCCCGCGGGTCTGCAGCACACAGAATCTCCCAGGCTGGGCCCTCCCCAGACTCTGGTGTGCGGGGGGAATGTGGGGAGTGATTTTCTCAGTCGGGGGCCATGGTTCTTTTTTTGGGGGGGGGTGTTTGTTTTTGCTTCTCAAAGTTGTGTGTGGCTCCCGACTGATTTTTTTCTGTGGATCAGCGACCCCCCCCACCCGAAAAATGGTTCCTTGCCCCTGCATTCTGTGCCTTATTGCTTCTCCTCTGCACGCCCCTGGGGCGGAGGCCCTTGTGTGCAGAGACAAAAAGGGGTGCCCCCCGCTAAGGGCGGGAAGCCCATGGTGCCTTGTGCAGGCCTGTCCAGCAGCCAGATTGTTGCAGCCTGTCCCAGAGAGCGCTGGGTGGGACAGGCAGGGTGCAAGGTGGCTCCTTCCTTAATGGTGACACAGCCCAGGAGTCCGAGCAGGTGGCCGGGCCGCAAGATGTCTGGTGGCTCCCGTCCTGGCCCTTCCGTCCGTCTCATTTCAGCGGCTCTTTTGGAAGCGAGCCCTAGATCAGCACCTGCCGATCCCACCTCTCTCTCCCTGTGCAGTGGGAAATCCACCTCCCTGGCGCAGAGGCTCGGTGAAAGAAATAAGCGAGCAGGCGGGGTTTGTTCGTGTGTCCTGCCCCTCCGGCAGCGTGAGCCAACGCTAGGTTCCTGGCAGGGCCCAATAAAACAGGTCTCCCCCCTGGACCCTGAGCCCGACATTGGAACTCTGGGGGTGGACGCGAGGGTCCTTGTGGATCCAGTTGTAAGGGGGCGTCACCGTGACCCACACAGGGTGCACCCCAGTTAATATCAGAGTCACCCTAACACTAAAGGAAAGATTAAATCATCAGCTTTTCCCCCAAATCTGCATGGAATGACAGCAAAGCGGGAAGCTGAGGCTCTATCCTTTATATTTAGACCATGTCCTATTATAACGCTCTCTGGGCCATTTTAATCATTCGTGTGCAGCACCAAGCACCTTCCTCCTCACCGGCCTTTCGCCCAAGGGCCAGTAAGGGTCACACGGGAGCTAGGGGTCCCGGTCATAGAACTGATGTCACATAGAAATGATGGCCGGTATCCTACACTCGGACCCTGCTTGGGAGGCCGGCGAAGAGCAGAGATCCCGCGCTCCCCTCCCTCTAAGCCACTGGGATGGGGCGTTGGCCAGCAGCTGAAAGAGACGTCTGCTGCAGAGGCCAGGGGATTGTTTAAAGAGGACTCAGGCGCAGTGTGTGTGTGGGGGGGAAAGGGGCGGGGGGGCGGTGAAATTAACAAGAGGGCCAGTGTCAAGAACACTTTTAAAATCTACCTGCTTTGATTTGCACAACTAACCCGTGGCTCACGCTGGGTGGATCAGCTGGAGGGAAGGAAGGGGCTTCGGGTGCAGGTTCCAGCTTGGATGATTTTATTGTGTCACT